TATACAGTGCTGTACAAAACATCATGTCCTATTGTAAAATACATGGGTAGTTCCAGTTTTCAGAGAGTAATCTGTGTCAAAGAAAACTGGCACTATTTATCTGTGAAAAGGGCACTGTGGTACACCCATTAGCAAACATTTTCTCATTCTCTCGCTGTTCAAAATTCAGTTCTGTGCTATCAGAAGGCTTTTCTAGTTCAGCAGCCAAGGATTTGCCGCCTAACAAAAGAGTGATGCTATCAGAACCATTCTTTGAATATCTCTGAGCAATCTGCTTTCCTTTCGGGTATCCTTTCTGAATAATATAGTAGCCTGATGCAAAAGCTTTATAATAAACCTGTTTTTAAAATCATATGTTGACTTTTATCTCCCTTTCTCTATTTGCTTTAAAGAACATCTAATGAAATGAGCAAGTAATCTTGGGAAACCTGTTGACCAACCTCAATGATTCAATTGTTTAATGGTAAGTGTTTACATAGGTAAAGTCCACCACTTCAATGCATCTAATCTAATTAGCAATAACAGCAAGATTTAGGTCAATATTTGCTGAGGTAGCATATTTATGAAACAGAATGGTAGCTATTATATCACTTGAACAAGGAAAAATGATTCTAAATATTTCTTATCCTCACCCCAGATGATGGCGTGGTCTAGATTTTGATGTATTTAATGGTTCTGATTGAAGCAAATTTACCCACCCCAACCTCTGACCTGCTGAAAAAGTTGCACAGAGGGCCTGGGGACTCTTAAAAGTAGCACTGCTTATTTTAAGGGGAAATATATAAGGGGAAGCCATAGGGAATAGAGGGCAAGCTTGTTTTCTGCTGCCCTGGAGACTAGGACACAGAACAATAGCTCAAACTATAGAAAAGGAGATTCCACCTGAACATGAGGAAGATCTTCCTGACTGTGAGAGCTGTTCAGCAGTGGAACTTTCTGCCCTGGATTGTGGTGGAGGCTCCATTTTTGGAGGATTTTAAACAGAGGCTGGATAGCTATCTGTTGGGGTGCTTTGAATGCGATTTTCCTGCTTTTTTGGCAGGGGGTTGAACTGGATGGCCTGCAAGGTCTCTTCCAACTCTATGATTCTATGAGAACTTCTTATTCAGAAGGCACCTTCTACAAGCAGAGTCCTTCAGTTCAAAGAAGGCAGATCTTGGAGCCAGAAGGAAGTTCCATAGAGTTCAGCATGAGGTGAGTTTGTATTGGATTGAGTGAGGTGAGTGTGTATAGGACTGCCCTTTACAACATACGGTGAAAAATTATTGTCTCATAGATTTGAAATGAGGGAATTTATCTTAAAGATCCAGTAATATGTAATTAGCATTATAGTCACTCAAAGCATTGTGAACTGAAGTCCACTTAAAATAAAAAGCAATTCACCAGAATGTTCCCCAATTCCCATAACAAATAAAAGCCTAACCTGGCCCCCTTACTATGGTCTCATCATTGTCTCTTGGGTGAAACCAAGATGGAAAATTTGAATAGTTTTCAATCCAACTCTGTCTACGAAAGCTGATAATTTATTTCAGGATGTTAAAGCAAATGTAGAAAGAAAGTAGTGTTTTATGTAAGGCCTGATTCAAATTGGTAGTTCAGACTAGACGAGACCCATTGAATCTATGCAACTTACATATATGCTGGCTAACCAGATTTCCATTGATTTAATGGCCCTGCCCTAATTGGGTCTAACAATTAAATTAGGCTTGTGTGTTAGACCAAAAGGTCTGAATTACTTCTGGATCATAACAGAATAGTATGTAGATGCCACGTTCTTTACAAGATATGACTTCATAACAAAGGAAATGCTACAGTAGTTCCCCAGAAAGCAAAGTCTTTGTTAAAATCCATTAACTGCAGCAAAGTTCTGCCCATTATTCCTGTCTACTGAGCAATGAAAGCAGCAGGAGAAATCAAACACCATGTGAAATAAGCAAATGAGCTTCTAAAGAAATATTGGTGCATCACTGCAGAGAAAAGACATCCTTTACTGAATACTAGAGGATCTATAATACAAATCAGCTGACTATGGATGCTCAGGCTGGATCGACACTGCCGCTGCATGCAGTTCAAAATGCATTGAACTGCATTATATGAGTATACACTTTGCATATAATGGGGTTCAAGAAGCAAAGACCACCAGCATTGAAGCGATGCTCCTACGCCATCAACTCCACTGGACTGGCCACATTGTCTGAATGCCCAATCATCATCTCCCAAAAAAGTTACTCTACTCCCAACTCAAGAACAGAAAATGGAATGTTGGTGGACAGGAAAAGGGATTTAAAGACGGGCTTAAAGCTAACCTTAAAAACCGTGGCTTAGACACTGGGAACTGGGAAGCCCTAGCCCTTGAGTGCTCTAACTGGAGGTCAGCTGTGATCAGCAGTGCTATGAAATTTGAAGACCCACAAATGGAGGGCGAAAAGGAGAAACGTGACAAGAGGAAGGTACATCAAGCCAACCCTGATAGGGACTGCCTTCCACCTGGAAACTGATGACCTTACTGTGGAAGAACATGCGGGTCAAGAATAGGACTCCTCAGTCACCTACATATCTGCCGTCAAGACACTGCACTTGGAAGGCCATCATACTCAGACAAAGAGGGATCACCTAAGTAAGTAAGAGCTTAAAGAGTTGATAGAGAGTGTTTGAATCCTATGGCTGCCTCCTGAGAATTCTGGGATTTGTAGTGAGGTCCAGGACCCCTCTGACTGAGCACTTTAAAGGCCCCTCCCTCAAGGCAGCCACAGCATTTAAACACCCTTTACCTCCTCTTTAAGTTCTAGTGTGACACGGCTAGAAAAGATGAATGAATAGCCTTCACCAGCTGTAGTTTTCCAAACTTTATGATCTTCAAAAGAAGGCTTCTTCTAAGGGTGACCTGCCACCAGACATAAGGTGGATACTGAGTACACCGCCTTCTTAATGGTGGTATCCCAATTCTGAAATGCTTTCTCTAAAAGTACCACTTTATTATTTGATCCCAGGCAAACCCCTCTTTTACACACATACACACACACACCCAGTTTTAAAATGTTGAATGAGTTCTGTTGCTCTTCTGTTCTGTTTGGGTTTTGTTGCCTTATTAGTTGTTGTTTCCGCCGAAATGTTTTTTAATGGAATTTTATTTTCAACCATACTGAAAGTTTAATCATGGGGAGTGAATATATCTATAATAAAGCAGTATCAGCCTACAACTAGAAATGATATGATAAGTGATTCAAAGGAAGTCTAAATAATATACAGCTAATCAAACCATATTCATGTCCTGTTCCCCCCCACCCCAATATTTCCCTCCTCTTCCTCCCTTTCCTTACATCTATATTTTCTAGTATTAAGGATGTAGGCAGCTTCACAGCTGTGAATATGTATTTAATTGGAGTTTATGTCTTGTAATCTATAAAGCTTGTGCTCAGATTTTTTGATCTTATTTATTACCATTAATATTCATAAATCACACTTTCTGCCCAGAGTTACCCAAAGCAAGTTATAACTCTTTCAGCCACCAGCAACAGACTAAAATGAGACACATGAGCAGATCTTTTCATGGAGGGATACACGTTCATGCAGTCTGAACATCTGGCATACTATGGACAATATACAAAATTATGTCAAAAAGGAAGAACCAACAGAAATAAGAAAGTTCTATTATTGTTGATTTAAACTGAACCAATAATTCATCCACTAGTATCTTAGTGAAGAGAATGATAAATATGAAATTTACAATGCAGGAAAATGGGAGGGGATTTTGAGGGTAGCGGCAGTGTAATACTCATCTAATTTTAATCTCCATATTCACATAAGGTTAATCCTGCAAGGCTTCCTATTTGCAGGAACACTTTTCATTAACCCCAAGAATAAATGAATTTTTTTTTGTTTTGCATTTGCCATCCCACTGTAATGTAAACTCAATTTTGTCCCTTACGGGAACCAGCTAGAAGAGACTGCTGTTTTTAGGTAAACAGTAGGCTTGGGCGGTTTCGTTCGTTAATTTCGTAATTCGTTATTAATTCGTATTTAAATTAGTTTACGATCCAATATTGAGCCATGCAGGACTACTGTGAGGAGTAATTAAAAATCGAAACAATTTTTCCAATTTATTTCGTATTGTTTCGTAATTGTTTCGTAATTGGTTCAAAACTTGTTTCGAAATTGTTTCGTAATTGTTTTGTAATTATTTCCGTATGTCTGGTGCAAGTTTTATAGTTGTTGTTTGTTTTATCAGTGATAAAAAAATAAATTATCACACCAACAGTCAACAACAGAGGGAGAGGGAAGCTTCAGAAGTTCCCCCTGTCCCATTTGGAGGTGTTTTTAGCATATTGCGCAATCGCGTCCGCCATTAACGAATCGATTCGTAATTTTACGAAATTTCGTATATTTCGAACTTTTTTAAAGGAAAATTTCGGAATTCTTTAAAAAAACGAAACGCAAGGGCCCCCCTAAAAACGAAACAAGTTTAGAACCAAATTTTTCCGTGGTTACCCAAGCCTAGTAAACAGCTTCAGTAATGGACCCTTGAGATTTGACTGCACAAAGCTGGGGAATGCATCATACTGAAATGGCAGCAGATAATCTGCAAAAAAAATATTCTGAAGTTTGGACTTTTTTCCATGTGCCTAATAAGACTTACTTTGATTTTGGTCAATTCCTTTTTAAAATATTCTTACTTTATACTGTATATTGTTTTCAGCCAATTCATGATATGATTTTTTAGGAGTCTGAAAACCATGATAGAGTTAAATGAAACCCTGTCCAGAAAAAGGCACTAGTAAGCATTATTACAAGCAACAATTACATTTTGTATTCATTAGGGGAGAAAAAAAACCCCTAAATTTCTTCAAACTATTCGTGTTATAGTGTTTGACCTCATCACACTAGAGAATGAATCCACTTTAAATCTGGTTGCTGCCTCCTGCAGAATTCTAGGGTTTGTAGTTTAGGGAGGAGTCTTTAACAGCTTCACTAAACTGCAAATCCCAGACTTCTGCAAGAAGCAGAAACTGGATTTAAAGTGGATTCATTCTCTAGTGCAACAGTTAGAAAAAATCTACATGAAAGTGCACTGTAGTTATTCTACCTGGACAATAATGAATACAAAATTGTACAGCATTCTGAAGGAATGAGCTGCAACCTGAAGGAGCTGGGGGTGGTGACGGCCGACAGGGAGCTCTGGCGTGGGCAGGTCCATGGGGTCACGGAGAGTCAGAAGCAACTGAACGAATAAACAACAACGTGCTGCATCCAAGGTTTGTGCTAGCAGATATTCCAACCAGTCACAGCAATTCCATCGATGTTGCAGTGGCAAGCAACTTGTGTATCAGCTTCAATAAACAATAAACAACAGATCATGCAACACTGACCTAGAATCAAGGTACAAGGATGAATTGTGTTTCCTCCAACCTGGAGGCACCCTCCAGATTGGAGGAAATAGCAAAGATTAATTAAGACCCCATCACTGTAATGGGGAACAAAAATACTGTGACTTCCCTCAATACTAAACTGTTTAAGTCTAAACTGTATTTTTATGCAGCCAATGTAAGATTTGAAAATTAAATCTTATCATTCTTATGAAAGAAATCATAAAGGTCAAATTTTAGTCATTTTAGAAGCATGTCACTTACTGGTGGGCTTTAGATTTCAGAAAAGAAACCTGCTTGTATTTATTGTAAAACAGAATATTCATTTTATTTTTGCTATAGAAAGTGTAAATAAAAGAGACGCCAATTATGCCCAAAAATATAAATCAAAGAACATCCCCCAAGAGCCCACAAATTTGCTGCTGCTGTGCTGTCTGTTTAGAAAGGAAGTGAGGAATAGAGCTCTTTTAAAACATACTATATTATAAATCCTGAAACATGCTTCTCATTTTCCCTCTCTACCTTCTCTTCTCCCAGCTAAACATCCCCCAAGAGGAAAAAAGAGAGGAAAAAAGAGAAGGGAGGGAGGGAGGAAGAGAATAATGGAAGGAAGGGTGGAAGGGAATGGAGGGAAGAAAGAGAGAAGAAAGGAGAAACAAAAGGGAAGGAAGGATGGAGAAAGAGGGGGGAAGGAGAGAGGAAAGAGGGAAAGGAAGAAGCAGGAAAAAGTAGAAGGGAAGGAAGGAGGGAGAGAAGGAGAAAGAAGGGAGGGAGGGAAGAAGGAAAGAATGAAGGAAGAAATGTTAGGATGGTGAGAGAGATGAGGGCCTGAGAAAAGAGCCCAAGGGGCTGCACATGGCCCCTGGGCTGAGTTTGCCCATATCTACACTATAAATTTCTGAGCATGCCTCTATGCTTGCAGTGGATCACCTCTAAAGCACTCTAGAAAAAATGAGAAACATCAGTATTACAGAAATAGGTTAACCTTGTAATTTTGAGTAATAAGCATTTCCCCCAAATTTGCAAATACACTAGTTAGGAGAAAATTCACATTACATGCAACCTATTGCTGACTTGGGAAAAAAATGATTTTAAACTGTCCTCTCACCACGAAAAAGCAAGGTATTTATAATAGTATTTTTCCAAAATTAAAATTAAGAGGGTAAGTGCATCATTAGCAGAATAATTTAAATTAGTTCAGTCATACCCTTTAAAATTATTTAAACACATGTGTTTTTATTACAGTATACACATACTGTAATAAAAACAGGCAGACAGCCAAACAATTTGCTTAAACAGTATATGCTTAAACAAAGAAATGGTTAAGATGACTGTAAACTGGGATTATATTATCTACACGGGAAAAGGCCTTCTTCATACCCATATCTTTCATTTGAGTGAAATCTGCATTTTAGTGTCAACCACTCTAAGGACTAGCCCTTCCAGACAGGCCCCATATCCCAGGCTCTAATCTAACCCCAGGTTTTCTGCTTTAAACTGGATTATATAAGTCTGCACTGCCAGATAATCTGGGATAAACAGAAAACCTGGGATCAGATTCTGGCATATAGAGACTGTTTGAAAGGGCTCCAAGAATACACTTACCATGTTTATGCTTGTTTTATACTAATCAGAAAGGAGAGAAAGGCATAACCCTATAACTTAAAGATCAAAGCATGCTTTTAAATTTCATTGTGATACCTCCAAAGCAACAACAGAGCAGAAATGACATTCAGTGTCAGCAGTAACAAATCTAACATTTGTAAATAATACAGTATAGAGAATATAGTTTAAAGAATATTTTATATAAGTGTGCTTTTTCCTATAAATCTTTTTTGCTTTTTGAAAAGTCTGTTGTCTGTAAATATCAAAGGAGAGGTCAGTATCAGTCCCATTCTCTCTCTCAATTAGTTGTACTGACCAATAAAGTAGACTTCAGTTCACATTTCTTAGGGAGGTCTTATTGGCTGCTGCTTGGTGGTGTTTGTAGCTTAAACAGTTTGGAATTTTTGTAGTTGAACTTTTAGCATAATGTGAATACCAGTCTCTTTCGAACACAGCTTTTAGTTGCTTGATTACACTGGTTTTGTTTCCTGACTCTGCTTGGTTGATGACCAGGCCAGCTCCAGCATCTGTATTAAAATAGGTCCCAACCCAGTCAAAATTACCTATAAACAAATGAAAGCACATTCAATCATAATTTAATACACAAAACAGTATTGTTTAAGGACAACTTGAAATTTCTTCTGTCAAAGAAAATCCAGCCATGTTTCCTTTCTTCAAAAATAGCTTGCACTTACTTTTTGCATGCTGTCCTTAGCGGCTCATAGGGAAGGTGAGTGGGTGTTAAATCATGTCAGATGGTTCTAACTTTTCACATGTGGGATTTACTAACAAGTCAAGATGTTAAATTAGTCCTTCAACTCTTTATTACATAATCATTTTTATTTTAAAATTTGTTGCTTACATGTATTATGCAACCTAGCATTAAATGAATCAATAATTTACTTACCGATATAAACGGCTTTATCAGTTACTACGTACTTGTTGCGATTTAGCTTAAAAGTGGAACAGTTCTTCTGTTCCTTAAAACAACAAGCACTTTCTTCTTCAAGATCAAAGAACTTCTGCATGAAAGAGGACAGGGCAGGTTAGTGAAAGCAAAGCATCATTACATCAGTAAAATGGTAACCTATCACATCTGAAAAATTGAAAATTAACATAAAAAGATTATGAAGGAACTTTGATTTAAGATGACTTTGTGGCAAATCCTATAATCTGTATCTTTCAATAGTGATTGTATTCTAGAAGATTACCTGTCAGTTTGAATTTCAAAGGTGTGGCATATAATTGCCAACTATGACAATACTAACAGGAATCCTGGTCTTTAAATTACCATGATTAGATTCAGATTTCAGGGAGATGTGATATGTACAAAAATAACTTCAACAGAGGAATAGCCTGGAGAATGGAGAGCCACCACCTTTACCAAAAAGCATTCAAAGGCAGTCACAGATGAAGACCACTATCTCAGCCAATTTTTGTAGTTGTGCAGGTGAAATGGCTAGCAATAGAGGCCATCAAACAAACATTGTGCTGATGAATGCCAGAATGCCATCTACTCATTGTTAGGGAAAAACTACCCTAAAATATAACAGACAATCCAGAAACAAACAGGATACTAAAAGTTGAGCATTCAGTTCATTAGCGAGCAGAGCATGAAGTGCCATGTGATGTGGCTGTAAAGAATTTAGAACTTAGGTAGGCGAAGATGCAGAGTCCAATCTTTAAAAAAAATCACAAAAAGTTTATTTACAATATAAACAATAACTGCATTTCTTAATAGGTAAAGAACTGGGTCTGAGCTACTCTAACACCCATCTCTTCTTAGGTTTCAAGAGAGGGAAAAATAATCCAAGAACTACATCTCTGACACACAAACAGAAAGAGATCTAAAAGCACACAGCACATACTCTGATGTAAGAAACAGATGGCAGTGGAAAAGTATCCATTCTGCACAACCAATCAAAATGAGAGTAGAAACAGAGAGGAGAGGAAGGTGAATCAATAGCTTGTTTTGGGCCCTCTGCTCCTTCCCTTTTTTAGATGGTGGTTGTGAGTAGGAGCTCTTGAGGAGATCTTTGCTTCCATCTTTACCTACCTGCAGAGGATCCTAACATCTGAACCCTAAACTATAGTTAATTTTAAATATGATTTGGAGAAAGAAGCCAATTTAATAAACCATGGTTTGAAACTTGCTTGTTTCTCTAAATCTCAGTTAAGATTAACCACATTGAATTTGGGTTCAGATATAATGACAGACTGCAATTAGTTGAACACAAAAGGAGAAAGCCTCCAATCTCTGCTTAGCGATCACAAAAGAGCTGAGGAAGGAGTTGATGACCTCAAGGTTCATTTACAAAACTAAAGGGAAGTGTACCACTGCTTCAGAATGAGGTTTGTGTGTTTTATGGAGGCAGAAAACTTCTCCATTTTGCAATCAAAATCAGCTGCAAAAGGTATGTACAATGTTTTGAGGCAATAAATATTTATGAACCCAATATGTTTCCGTTAAACAGCTCTTCTTCAGAGGAATTTATATTTATTACTATCCATAGAAAGAGCCAGAATATGCTGAACTGTGAAAATCAAATACAATCTAAGCAAAGAAAGAGCACTGAACAAGTGAGATGAGCAAACAGACATTTGACACTGGGATGCCATTAATATACTGAGCTAACAAGAAAGAAGATTGTGTATTATACCTGGTAGCAAGTACAAAGATGGGATTTAAACTTATTTCTTGTGGCTTTATGAGACAGCAAAAAAACAAAAAACCCCACAAAAGTTTTAGAGGAAATAGCAGAAGGAATACTTACAACTTTCAAACTACAGCCACTAACTTCTGTACAAATTGCTTTAAGAGATGAAACAAAGTTAAATGTGAGTGGATTTGTTTCTTTTGAGTAACTTATGAGGAGCCGTACTTTAATATTTCGAAGAATCAGTGCTTCTCTTATCTTTCCATCCAAATATGGCCAATACCTGTGGAGAGAGCAACCAATATTATTTTATTACTTTTTTTAAAGGCAGGATTTGTTAGTCAAGTTGGAAAAACCCCAGAAGAAAACATGATCAATATCTCCAGATGTCTGCAAAAGATGTATTTGCTTTAACACAGTGAAAAATGTTATAAGAAGACCAAGGAAAGGACGTTTATGTGCAAGGCTACTTTTGAGATTAAGCCATCTGTGGCAGATCATGCAACTGATGAAAGAAGTAGAAGCCTAATACCATCAATATGTAGATTTCCCACCAGGAAACCCCACCACTGTGGTGAAATGTGAGATTTCTATTCCTTAATCTGCCAAATGTGAAGACTTCCATAGTATATACTGCAATTATCAAAACTAAGTGTATTCTGTGATTCCCACCTTTGCCTCTAGTGTAAGAATGCATTGCTATCTTTTTGCGGGGAACCAAACCTCAAGGTTCCTATGTTATATAATTTCCATCCCCAATGAACACCACACCTCTTTATTAAATTTTGCCACCCCAGATACCTTGTCTGAATCTAAGACTTCATATAAAGCACATTTCCATATGATCTCAAACAAATTGTTGTTTTTCTCCCCTTCTGTGATATTGTATATATTGTGGAAATGTTATTCTTACTTCGTGTGTTAATTTTTCAGAGATCTTAGATAAATTACTAGGGAAAGATATGACTATTATTAATAAAATTAGACAATAGAGGATAATTTATTAGATTGACAGGGAAGTAGTTTGCCTGTGACTTGAGGAGGGTGAATGGTTGGTATAAGGTAAGATTTTAGATTGTGATTTGTTGCCCTTCTGTGATATTGTATATATTGTGGAAATGTTATTCAAATTTACATATAAAAAAGGAAAAAATATTTTAAAACCTGCCATTCAACAACCAAATGCAAATCCCCTCAATTATTCCACCAATGAGCATTCACTCCAATATTCTATTTTCTTCTAATTACCAATGAAGAATTAGTAGAGAATTGATCCTCAACTGCATGAGACAATTGTGACTAGAATTTCTAGTTACAATTGAAAGTATGATGAGGAATCTTTCTTCTGGTTAGATCATGACTGAGATTTGGTATTGCCACCTTTCACAAAATGACAAATATAATGGAACTAGCTCATTACTTCAAATCTCACCACTGAATCTCAAATCCCATTGGAAATTGTAGAAATTTTTTAATGGCAGATATAAAAGCTAGAAGGAATACTAAAAAAGAACGAAGTTTGAAATATTTAGAGCTCTACATCAGTATTGTTCACAGAGCCTGTAAAGAACAACCTTTGTGTTAGGCTTTCACAACATAATTCATTCTTCCCCTGGATTGTCACTGTTAATTAGCAGGTTATGACAGTGAGATCAAAACAGATATGTTTCTCACACAGACGAATTCTGTTGGAAGCTTAATGCCTAGGTATCCATCTTAAACGAGTGGCATGTCAAGAAAAAAAAATTTCATGTTTATGTCAAATGACATATTATTAATGTCCTGTCTGAAAGGTGATTTCTGCATAAAAATTTTGGCAATTTGGTCCCTAAAGAAAATAAAACATATCTGCATATATTGTGCACTTGAATGTCAGGAGTGTTTGCTCCCCAACTATCTGTGGTTTTGATAATCCAATACATATCATGGAGCTGAATCCAGTTTTGTCATCCTACTGGCACCAGGTTTCGATTGCACACAGAAGCTTGTTACATCCTTGCTGAAGTATCAAACCTAGTCTCTTGCTTTTACTTTTGCAAGCTCCTGTACAACTCATTAGACTAGGTGTTGCTTTCCTTAATAATGCTGATTTTCCCTCTGGAATTTGTGCAACTGCTAGGAAAACAACACCATATTTTATACATATTCTCATCAGCCTAAATGCTGATGTTTAATTATGATTTATTCAAAAATGGACATGATTTATACATCCTGTTCTGAACCTCACATTTATATCTTATTTATTTATTTATTTATTTATTATATTTATATGCTGCCCTTCTCACCCCAAAGAGTTATACGGGTTAATAGACTTTGTCCTTAGGAAATCTCCTAATGAATGGTTACTTTCATTTTTAAAACCCCCACATTTATTTCAATGCATTGCCAGCAAAATAAAGGTTTCTGGTATTTCACTAACCTTGTCTCATTTGTGATGTTAATAATAGGCAAATAGTCTGTGACAGCAATATAAACAAATTGTTCCGCATCATCCATAACACTAAAGATGGCATCAATATCCAAAACCCTGTCCTTAGGACAAAGAAGCTTGGGGGAAATCTGTGAAGATAAAAAGTGCAACACTGTACAGAGGATACGATTTAGAAACATTTCATCTTTCTTCAGTGTAGAATAAATACACTGAATGTGGCAATTGAATATTGCACAGACCATCTGTGCTCTTAAACTGTAGCTCTCCACAAGAAAACAAAATCTGGGTACAAACATTTTTTAGTGGAGATTACACCCTTTTCAGCGTCAACCATGTTTCCCATAAGTAAGCCATGGGCAGTATTATACAGACCTCATGACATTGAGATCCTTACAGTGGAAGATGGCGAGGGAATCTGTTGGGCAGTGTCAGACAGCAGGCGAAACTGGCATTGAGTGCCCTGCATTATCATGTCACCCCCTTCACCATCACACAGGGGAAACCATCTCTGCCTAGCTTCCCGTCACAGTGTCTGGTAGCTTACCTAATGAGAACATAGAAAGCCATCCATGTTCTCAGGGCTTCTTCCTATGATGCTTCCAGGCCAGAGCTACACCAGAAGTAGCCCTGCGTCATATGTTGGGCTCCAGCAGGCTCCATCCTGGAAGCATTGTAGGACAGAGTCTAAGTACCGTGTGATAAAGTGGTACATCAGCTACTTAAGGTAAAAACTAAACATCTGAGGATTCCATAGCATTGAGCCTTGGCAGTAAAATTGTATCAAACTACATCAATTCTACATCATATATTTAACTAAGGCATCTGAAAAGAATCAAGGGAGCAGAGGGATGATTTATTGTTGTCACCAATTTGAAAGGAACCAGTATTCAGGAGATTTTACCCCAGTTCCCAATTCTAAAAAGAACTGGCCGATTTGCAATGGAGGTTGCCGATTAGGAACCAAATTTACCATCAAGTTGGAAGGGAGGCTGTTCCATTGCACCTCCTCCTTTATTAAGAAAGTAATAACTTAGTAGTAATTAACTGTATATACTGTAGCGTGACTGGAGAGAAGAATGTAGATTTATTTGGTTACTTTTCCCTGCGTTTCTGCCACCACGTGAGGTAAGTTGTAATATTGTGAGAAATGGCACTTTGGACACAGAATAGACGGAGCTGAGGCAATCTTCAAATAAAAGTTAACAATTTTATTAAGTACACAGCGTGTGGTTGCAAGACGTAACTTTTCCTTGTTGCACTTGGAATAATACTTGTAACTTTAACAGTTCATTCTTTCAAGTAACACAGTATCTTTCTGACGTAGAGCACTTGTTTCAGACAAAGTTTCAATACAGGGATGTTTCCCTTATTTGATCCTCCCTAGATCAAATACTAAGTAAACTATTCTTTAGCCTCTCCTTAGACTAAAAGAATACCAGCTATGTTTCACCATTCGGCTGCACTAGCCTGAGAAACTTCCAATAGCCAAACCCAGCTTTTCAAAGCCTCAAAGCTTTGCTTCACAAGTCACTCCGCCACCTTTCCTTTCCTTCTCTCCCAACTCCTAACTCCTCACTCCTCTGAACCTAACTCCTGACTCCTCTGAACCTAAACCCGAACTGCTCACTCCTCTAAACCTAAACCCTAACTGATTTTTAACTGTCGTTTTTTCAAACTCTCCCCTCTAAGCTCCTCCCACTTCCCTGTCTCCTGCATCGGTCTCCATGGCAATGCACATGGAGGACTCCTCTGACTTAAGCCGCTCCAGCATTACTGCAGCCAATCTAAACACAAATACAGTTAAAATCATACAATTTATAATCAACTCCTGTACACATCTCTTGACCCAACCCCACAAAACTTGAATAAAACATTATTATTTTTATGCCCCAATAGCAAGAAGAATGCAAATTCTCCCTATGCAGTTGATGGCCTGTAAAGTAAGTTAAAGGTGTTAGGACAATAATACCATGGTTGTAAGAAATGATTTAGCACAAATATGGAGCAGTTATTGCTTAATAAATACAGTATATCTAACCAAGAAGCTGATGTGGACCAACAGACCATATTTATAGGTACCAGTATGTTTTCCACCGGGATGATAGCATGCCATAAAAATTAATAGCCTGCAAAGCCTATGTGTGTTAAAGACAGGTGACAATCCAACCTTGTCTGATTTAATGTTAAAAGTTTTTATAACTTTTCTGTTTTCTTTAATGCATTTTTCAGCTTTCATTTAACTACGCAAATCCTGTTGCTGCTGTTGCTACCAATATTCACAAGAACATCATCAATTCCAATGTTCTTTCATGTCTGCAAAAAGTATATCCAGCAGGGAATGTAGTATATGCCATTGGTCCTGGCTGTGCGTGAGTGATAGTAACGCAATAATAAATAATTCAAACAACAGTGGAGTCATTAAAACTGAAAAGCAGTCAGCAGCTTCCATGACCTTACGCAGAAAGTACATGTCCTTTTGTGTTTATCAGCCTTACAGATTTTCAGTTGCTTAGCAACTGTACCATTATGACTGCTGAAGGGAGAGCACCTAGTTTCAGTGCCATGTGGCCACGGCATAAAATAAGCAAAGGTTGCTAGTACAGTATTTTTCCCATTGGTATTACTTTTTAGTTACATGCTAATATAAGCACAATGTGATTTTTAAAAGATTAACTCAACTTCTGGCTGTGAGGAATATCATGATATATACAAATCGGCAAATTTAATGCAAAAGAAAGGAGAACCTGTAGGCTGATATCATGTAAAAGAGAATGAATCCACTTTAAATCCAGTTTCTGCCTCCTGCAGAATTCTGGGGTTTGTAGTTTAGTGAGGCTGTTAAAGGCTCTTGCCTAAACTACAAACCCCAGAATTCTGCAGGAGACAGCAACCGGATTTAAAGTGAATTCGCTCTTGAGTGTGATGAGGTCCTAGGAGAAGTAAAAAGAATATTTTGTGGAAGACCGCCTTAAACCCTAAGTTGGACCCAGTATGCTCAGTGACCTTGGCTGTGTTGATTGACTGGGCTGGAATGAAATGGACAATCCTATTTGGCATTGCTGGTTGGATATTTAAGCAGAGTGGATAAAAACAGATTATAATAAAAACAGTAGGCATTGCATTTCCATTAAGTAATAAACTGAATATCCCCTATATGAAATGCCTAGGACCATAAATGTTTTGGATTTTAGAATACTTTGCATCTATGTATGTAATGAGATATTTTCGATTGTATCACAAGTCTAATCACAAGGTGTATTTGTTTCATATAGACCTTTTAAAAAGTACACACAGCCTGAATGTAAAATTCCACACAATATTTTAAATAATATTGTGCATGACACAAAGTCTGTGTATATTGAACTATCACAAAACAGAGGCGCCACTATTTCAGCCATCCATGTGGACAATTTTAGATTTTGGAATTCCGGATAAGGGATGTTCAACCTGTACCCAATTAGGAATTCAAATATTTTTATATAAATGTGCTTGATCTACAATTTATCTTGAAAGCCAAGCATTAAATCTTGGAGATATAGTGGTTAAAAGGCATAATGGTAGAGTGATTAAAATTTTGGATTGGAACGTGGAGAGATCTTGGTTGCTCTTGCATAAGTTACTCTTTTTCAATCTGAGAAGTATTGTGGGAATAAAGTGTGGAGACGAAACCCCATAAACAGTGACTTGAGCTCAAACAAACAAACAAATACTGATATAATAATCTACCCTATACACATATTTATAGCTTATTCACTAGGTGTAGGCACCTATTGAACATGAACTAATTTCCCACCAGAGCTTACAACTAACCATCATTCATGGACATTTCATTTTTGTTTACTTCTTGGCCATATGTGTATTTGTGACTGTTTGGGGGAGGGGGGCAGAAGAAAATGTGGCCAGAGAATCCCATATTCACATACTTAGACTATTCTGCATGCTTTCTCAGGAGTTCAGAAAAATAAAAACATGCAGACTACACATGAGGTGTGGACTGTAAGTGGCATTTGGCCCCAATGGGCCAAATATATTGTTCCCAAATGCCCTCTAGGAAACAACATTTTTGCATCCTCTCAATCAGTTCAGGAGAGACTTTCTGCAAAACAGGAAGTGAAGAAGTGACATCTGTTCACTTCTTGCTGTAAATAGGCCTCTCTTGGGCTTCAAATGCCCAAGGAAAGCATAAATGAGGCAATATATTTTTAAATTTTGTTTGGTGAGGTAGGAGGGAGTATGGCCTTTCAAAGTTTCTTTAGGCTCCCCTAAACTTCCACAATTGCCCAGCCCAATAAAGACAGTGTGGCCAAATGAAGTGTGCTGGGATGTCAGAACTGAACAGCATAACATATTTTAAGGCTGTTCTGATATTGTAAGGTTGCTCTGAGTCCCCTTCGGGATGATAAAGTCAGGATATAAATACAGTAAATAAACAAATAAACTATTATTCCAGTTAATGGTTAGATTTGTACCAATGGTTAGGAATTTATCATTTATTTTGTTCAAGACATTTGTTTATCACCTCTTCACCAACGAAGGTCCCAGAGTGTATTGCCTATTAAATATCAATAGGATTCAATGTCTTCCAGAAAGTATGTTTCTTCCAGGCCCTTCTCTCGCCCTTTCCTCATTCACAGGCTCGACTTGTGGGAACGAGGGAAAGGACCTCCTCCACTGTGGCCCCCCACTTCTGGAACTCACTACCTAGGGAGATCAGGCAAGCCCCCTACCCTAGCTGCTTTTAAGAAAGACCTAAAAACTTGGCTCTTCCAATGTGCCTTCGGAGAGTGACCACTCAACCCATCTGATTGTTTTCATCTACAGCTGCCCTAAGAATAAAGCACCTTCCCTGTCCCCTATAAAGGCCAAATCCCATTGTTCCTCCCTGTCGGGCTCCTCTCTTATAAATGCACTTTTATCCCTATCTCGCCCAGAGTTTTAACTTTTTAACTTTTTTACTTCATGTGTTATGATGTATTTGTGTTATGATGTATTTTTTTGTTTTTGTGTTTTAATTGTGTGGTATTATTTTGGGCTTGACCTCATGTTAGTTGACCCGAGTCCCCTCTAGGGAGATGGTGGTGAGTTATAAATAAAGATTATTATTATTATTAATATAAATTTGCCTCTTTTTCTATTTGATGGATTCCTGCTATTACTTGTCCTCTTTGTCTTCTAAATCTACTAGCAAAATAAATCTTTATGTTAGTGGTGAACATGAAAAAAACAGTGGAAGGATAAAGGAGAAGAGTGTTGTTTCTTGTCTGAATTATATCTATCTAGGGGCCAACATGGTCTTATGACCTCATCAGATGGGGTTTATTCCAGCAGCATATGCTGGTTGAGCCCTAGATGATCCACAGAGCCCACCAACTCCCTTCTGATGACACAGGGGAATTCCAGCTGGACTCTGTGGGTTATCTAAAGTGGAGCCAGTGTATGCCATCGTTGTGGCAACATGAGAGGCTTCCTGTGTAGCGCAGGAAGCAACTGGGGAAAACGGTCAATGCTTCCCCTGTGGGATCAGCTTCCTGTTGAGCCAGGCAACGTGGGGCAATGGGTTTTTCACGCCCCCAATGACAGTCACTGAATTCGCCACTGTGCGTGGCAATTCCAGTGATTCATGTGATAAGGTAATGAAACACTTTTTTAAAAATTAAGGCAAATGTAGAATTGAATTGCAAATTTCTCAGCAATGGAAATCAGCAACAACCAAGTTTTAAGGCAACAACATGAGAATAACTCAAAAATGACACTGTTTTAAAAGGACATATGTACAATGTCGTTAATCAAATAGTGATTTCAATAGCTAATGAGGACTATAAGTAAAAAATATAGCAGGGGAAACATTTTCGAAACCAACCCACTAATCAACCAACAAAAGATAATACTCACCGAAACAAAGACTTCTGACTTGGTTTCATTCAACTTGAGAGTCAATTTATTATCAGTGTTATACACAGCATACAGTCTCTTCGACCAAATAGGCGGAACTTTGCTCTTGGATTTTAAAGAACTGTACAAGGCAAATATCCTTTGTAAATCTAACACCAGGCAGCTGCAGTTGTACACAATGACACCAAGTTCTTTCATCTGTCAATCCAAAGTACAAGTCATTAAGAGCAGATTGTCTAGTACTACATGCTAAAAATGCTTTCAGATGTTAGTTAATAGATAAATGCATGACACTGCTATATTAGTGCAAAATAAATGCATAAGACTTGATCTAAAACATTATCCAAGGTTTTCATAGAAAAAAAATATCAAAACTGGATGTTCTGCTAGTTCTGGCCTTGTGACTAGCAGCCAACAGAATTTTGAATGGAATGGATAACTTATCTGTATCAACCTCCTTCCCTTTTGGATTTTATCCTAAATGTATCAAATCCCAGTACTACGTTATTCCAAGTGCAAATGTGAGAGAACAATTATTCATGATCCAAGTTTTGTTTGATGTAGGGTAAAACACTTAATTTTAACAAATGTCATAAATGCCTTATCTTAAAAGAGCCAGATGGGTCTTTTCATAACTTTAGGAAACCCATTCACTCCAAACTGTAAGAGACTGATAACAGTGTTCTTTTTCACTACATAGAGCTCTGAAATGAGATGATGCAGCTGTCTTTAAGAGAAATGCAAATGAACCAGTCTTCAGCTAACAAGTCTTACTGTAAACTCTGGTTTGGAAATACTAGAGAGAACTGAAATTTATACTTTGGTATTTATAGCCAGCCTTAGTCCAAATATCAAGTTAGACTGGCTAAAGTATCTTTGAAAGTCCAGTATTTAATTATACAGGAAATGTCATGCTGAAGATGGATTGCCATTACAATTTGTAGAGGCAAGCATAAATTCTGCCAAGGTATATAGGGAAGTTCAGAGTAGAAGCTCAGAGTGAACAAATGCTCAAGGTCCATGTAATTTTTAATATTTTTGATGTAACCAAGCAATGGACCTGAAGGAAACAGACAACAAAGATAAGATGACATTATAATATGTTGATGTGTAACATACTCTTTAGATCAGGCATTTTTATAAATATATATATATAAATACTCTAGTCTAGCCTTTTCAAGCCAAAATGAGTTTTCAAATTATATGTGCATCATGAACATTCACAACCCTACAGCATTGTGTTTGTTGGTTCATAGATCAAAGGAAACTAGAAATCTAACAAAAAGAGGGCTCTACATCAAACTATGCCAATAACCTACATCTAGATTCAACCCTTCTATTGTCTTTGTATGTAAAGCTACCCACCACAGAGGTAGTACTAGATCTTCCTATTTCATCATAACAAGACAGTGCAAAGGTCACCTGCAACAGCACTGTGTTGTCATAATTCTTTCTTCCATCCTAATGTGCTTACAATCTTATTATGTGATGTATAAATATTAGCTTGCTTGTTTCAGTAGTTTTTGGTTTATGCTTACTTACTTGCCTTCTCCGAAGGCTTTCAGGTACTGGAGCAGGATTGATAGAGAGGCAGAAATGTATTTATGGCTAAGGTAAGATATCAAGTCTCTAACTTCTCCAATCTCAGAATAAGTGAAATAAGGCACACACACTCCACTCACTCCTTTTAAAACCCTCTATGGTTTTCAGGAAATCATGATTTATTTTGTATTGTTTTTTGAACTCAGTTCTCCCGGCCTGACTTATTTCCCTATATCTACATAGGTGTGCAGAGAGGTGCAACAAGTGGTTTTCTCCAGAATAGCCCTGATTAAATATAAAATATATAGATTGTATTCAATATTATCTTATTCCATATTATGTTATGGAGAATATGTGATTATGAAATGAAACAATTTTGCTACATAAGCTAATTTTGGTAGAATGTTATATACAGAGATATTGAATGGATGGATGACTGGGGAGACTAGCAACCAAGGGAGGCATACATGCAGGAAGAAAAGTACAGTAGATTCAGGATTCCTTTTAGCTACAAAACATTTCCAAGGCAGGGTCAAATTGGACATTTTATATTGCAGCTGCATGAATATTTGTTTCCTCTCAATGACAGAGGTTATTTTCAATTAGCTCCCTAAACTTGCTAATGTTTTATATTTTAAATGGTCACTTGCAGTTACAGTGAGATGACTGAAAGTTATTTTGTTTCAAATACAAATATGGGTCATATGCAAAGAAGATTATTTCATAAACACTCCTATCATGTAAAGCACTACAGCATTATGTCTGATGAATAGCAAGGCCAGAGAGCATTTTGCAACATGTTGCTAGAGTCAATAAGAATAAAATAAGTTTCTTTAACATTTGAATGCAGCTGAAAAACTGCTTCCTTGGTGGATTTTAAGGTGTTTTAAAATATCAGTTCAGTTTCTAGCTTTCATCACCTAAATAGGGCAGACCTACCATAATCTTCACTATGTTGTTGTTTATTTGTTCCGTTGCTTCCGACTCTTCGTGGCCTCATGGACCAGTCCATGCCAGAGCTCTCTGTCGCCACCCCCAGCTCCTTCAAGGTCAAGCCAGTCACTTCAAGGATACCATCCATCCATCTTGCCCTTGGTCATCCCCTCTTTCTTTTTCCTTCCATTTTCCCCAGCATCTTTATCTTCTCCAAGCTTTCCTGTCTTCTCACTATGTGGCCAAAGTACTTCCTCTTTGCCTCTAATATCCTTCCCTCCAGTGAGCAATCTTCACTATGCTATCATGTACATGTAGGGGAACAGTTGTTCCTACTGGTTGTGGCGTGGGTAGCCCCCTCTACAGTGGTTCCAGTTGGGAATGGCAATGCGGGTCAAGGATTAATGTTTTCTATCATATTAGGGTCCCGATTCAGCTCCTCAATCCATGTATTTGCCTTTTTAATTTGCTAGCGTAAGATGAAACTATATGGAAAACATCATGTTTAACCGATGAGTTAACTGGAGAGTTAATGCACTAAAGAAGAGTTTTATGAGCACTCTGAAAATACTTATGCTCTTTGCAAGTTTTAGTCAAGTTAAGCAAATATGAGAGGGCTTATAAACTATGCATTGACAAGGTCTTGTGTTATGGCTGGTGGTGGGAAAGGAATGCAATTTGAACAATGATCTGCAACTTAGATACTTTTTGAATACAAGATTGACATGGTCCCTTCCCAGCCAAAAATGAAGATGGGAGGAAGTAGCTGATGAAATGTTATTCAGGTGAAGAAAGGACAGTGGCAAGTCAGATGTGGGAAAGGAAGAACCAAATTATACAGATTGGAAGAACCAAGAGTTTATTAGAGATAGAAAGAAATAGTTTGTAAACACTTCTGGACTACTTTGTGTTCTAATCATATCAGAAATTTCACTTGTATTTTACTGTGGGCAATGTAAGACATTGTGTGTTTACTGGTGGCTTTTATTTAGCTCTTTTGGAAACTACATCACATTCTCGCCATGGGAGAAAGAGAGGATATAAACCAACCAGTTTGGAGATAAAATGCCAAATAACTTTAAAACTCTTTAATCTCTCTATATAATCTTGGTACTTCCAAGCTAGGATGACAAGGCAGAACATTAGAAAAATATGCATGTACTTTTTCTTTAGTTTTGAACAGTCATAATGAAAGAGGATAACTCCTGTATTTAAATATTCTCTCTTCTGTGTCATGAAAAATATCTGAAGATACTTCAGTATGCCATAGCTGAAGCAAGCATATGAGAAGGAAGAAAAGGAGGAGGAGAAAAAATCACACGTTTTAAAAAAGCTCAAAAAGTGGGACAATAGAGGATAAATCAGCTCTATCTCTGCCAGACTGGGAGAATTGAAGGGTGTGGAACTGGGATTGTAGATACCAAGTTGCTCTTGCCATTTCTGGGGGAGAGTTCAGTTTCAATCATATCACCATATGACCATTTCTCATTACAAACTATAATGTAAAGTTTCATTCATAGAAGCAACTTTGATGTATATTCATAATAAAAGTACCCACGGTGTTTTAAAAATAATTTTTCATTTTGAAATTGAAAATACCTGTCCCAATGAACTCCATTCTAAACTGGCACTTCCAATGTATACATGTTGTTTATCCACAATCCAGAATGATGACTGCATATGGCCATCATTGTAAGCAGTCAAGTTCATGTACATCACTTCTGCACCTAGAGAAAATTAAAACAAAACAATCAAAATGTGCTAAAATATAAAAGAAATTTAGCAGTGCAATCTTTAGGAATTGACAAATTTTATCGTTTCAATAATCCCAATAATAAGTGTATTTTGAAGTATGTAATTTGGACATAACTACTATGCATACACATTAAGAAGCCCATTGACCTAAGTGAGACATGATTTTAATAACCATTCATAGGTCTATGTTGCAAGGAGATGAAATCCTTTTTCTGACACCACTTTTCCTGGACAAATAACAAGGTCTGCTCCCAGACTCTGGAATCCCTTCCTAGAGAGGTCAGACTGGAAGCTCCCAAATTTATGTAACCTACTGCCTGCTTTTCAGAAAAAAATTACTCAGCACCTCCCTGGAAATCGACCTTCTTGAACAAAGATGGCGTGACAAATTTGCCTTCTTTTTTGTATCTATATTTCTACCTACATCCAACAACATAGTAAAGAAAGATGTTGGAAATAAGACACCTTGAAGCTTGAAATTATTATTATTGTATTAAAATCAATTATTGTAACAAAGGATATTAAAATAAAAATTACAACTAACATTAAAAATAAACCTAAATTAGAAAAATGAACCAATTTATTAATCTTCAGCTCTGTTTTTGTCAGTAGCATAAATTTAAAAAAATCCAATACTTATTGCACTTGTGCTATTATTAAATGCTTATCACACAATTCAGACAAAATTATGTTTCATACATGTTGCCTATTTATAGTATTGTATTCTAAACAAATGATTACATGCACATATTACTGCTGATGCATGCTGGACTTCCCAACAATGCACAACAAGGTCGCCAGCCAACATTTGCTTGTGAAGATCTATTGAAGAACTTGACCACTGACTTGCATTTGATATATTCATTTGGGAAATAAATTAGTCACTATGATTTTAACTCTATGTTACACAACAGATGAAACATACATGATCTCACAACCTCTGAGGAAGCCTGCCATAGATACAAATGAAATGACAGGAGAGAATACTTCTAGAACATGGCCATACAGCCCAAAAAACCTACAACAACCCATATATGAATTGTTTTTCAAAAGTTTCTTCTTTCTTTTTGTTTCCACCCCCCCCCCCCCCCCCCGATTTTCACTCAATGTCCCCAACAGCTCTCCAGCACCCATTTTGGGAAGCACTGTCCTAAACCATGATCCTCATTTGTAAGCAGATGAAGTATTTTTAGTTTTGGTAGGCTTCTGTCAACTCAGTGAAGAAATGGCCTTCAATACTGTACTGTATTGTACATATGTGTTGTTTTTCTTTTTAAAATGCTTTTAATTCTAATTCCATTTTAACTTTTGTATGATGTGAAATTTTGGATATTTCTATTTTTAACTTTTGTAAGCTGACTTAAATTCCAGAATTGGGAGAAATTTCAGAATATTACACAAAATTAAAAGACTTGTAATGTCATTTCAAAACAAGAAGTCTATACATAATTTTATTTAGAATAAATGCCATATAAGTATGGATTCAGCTTCATTTATTTTACTTATTTCTCTGTGAAGAGCAGGTGAAAATTGACATGTCCAAAACTATGTTAACTGATATTTTACTCAATTAAAAATCTAATGTAATAAGCAGGGTATTTCCATAACAAATTCCTGTGATGTCTTGAAGACGAACACGTATGCTGTTACAAAACTTTTCTATGATCTATAGCCTCCTTTGTCATCTGGAGTGTTATCCAGATTTCAAATATATTTACAGACCAGATGGTTGAAGGTGGGATCATAAGGAGTGAGGTAAAAGGAAAAGTAAATGCATAAAGTATTGGCAATGACAACTAAAATATTAACGAAGGCCATCTGACAAAATTACAACTCCAAAATATTGCTAATACCAAAAACACCATGGCACTAGGTGAGCCTATTAATTCATGCAGCGAGATATGAATTTGTCATGCAGATTCAAATCTCTGATGATTGATTGGAACTTTTTAATGAAATGTAAATGAACAAACTTTTGGTATAATCTTCCTTTGAAGTTTCACTGCTTCATGTTGGCTACTGTAAAGTAGGAAATAGTGTGTCCTGAGAGGCTGAATGTTCTCCCACTATATTAAAAAATGTTTTTAACTTTACCATTTGTTTTCATTAAGAAGTGCTGGTCTATCACCATAGGTTTGAAAGAGTATCATAGATTTTTATCCCATAACATGTGTTAATTGATGTCCAGAGAAGTCACTAGGTTGATAATTCAATTTTAACCATCATAAGGGTGAAGGTTTTTCTTCCCTATGCAAATATGCTTGCATTGATGGTTTCTAAAGCACTATATTTGTTTGGGATACTGCAAACATTCTCATACTTAACACAGTCTTTTGGACTGATTACTTTTCTGTTGCAATTTGTATCCTGCTTTTATGTTTTTTTATATGCTATATTATTTGTTTCTAGTACTTTTAGTATTATCTGTTCCAAAGCATGGAGTCTTTTTGACAGGAAAACAGGTTTATCTATTAAAAATGTGATCTCAACTGCACCGAGATCCATTACTTTTTTCTGATTTGATTTTTGAAGCACTACTTCTTTTGATCCTAATCATGAGTATTCTGATATTGTTAAGAGAGTTGCAGCTATTTAGCCCCAAAAGCAAGTAAGCCAGCTACTCAATAGGTAGGAGTGCTGATTTCTGTTAAAATTCTTCACTCATTCTCAATTAGAAGACTGCCTTGGAGAGTGGTTGGCTTCAAATGAGTTCCAAGTGCCATAATGATACCATACACTGAAAGCATTGGGTAGTTCCAGATGAAAGCTTTATTGTGCAAGCTTCTTATCCCACTCAAACATTTTACTGAGAAGCCAGATGTTGACTTGAATTCACAATAGCAGTTACATATGCATAAACCACAGTTATGTATCCATAATTGATTAGTATTCATGCTCTATACATATTCATGGTTGTTGCAATAATATGAGGAATACACAGGAATCCAAAAGTTCCCCAATCCTGCCTTGCTGGGGAGCAGGTGCTGCAAATGACTAGAGAGAAGATCTCTATTCATGATTGAAGTGGGTGGGCCAGCAGACATTACTTAATTAAGCATATCTAATTAAGTAACTGGTTTAGCATCTTGGCTATGATTTTCTACTTGTATTTTCCTGCACTTCTTCTGTTTTTGATGGTTTGTTAGTTGTCATCACAGAAAAAAAACACATCTAAGGGCCTGGTCACAGAATCACAGAGCTGGAAGAAGAGTCATCCAATCCAACCCCATCATGCAGAACACACAATAGACCACACCTGACAGATGGCCATCCAGCCTCTGCTTAAAGACCTCCAGAGAAGGAGACTCCACTACCATCTGAGGCAGCATATTCCACTATTGAACAGCTCTTGCCATCAGAAGCTCTTCTTAACATTTAGGTGGATATACTTTAATAAAGGGATATCAAACTCATTTTCACCGAGGACCACATCAGCTTTATGGCTGCCTTCAAAGGGCCACTTGTAATGGTAAGGCTGTATAAATGTAATTACTTCTTAACATTTATGTGATGGGAAGTTGCTGCTAACTGTGAGAGAAATAGGTTTAGCAGCAACTTCCCATCACATAAATATTAAGAAGTAATTTAGCCACCCACTGCATGGCTATGAGCCTCCTCCTAGTAGACTCAAATCAAGGAAAAGCTTCATAAGAACCACGACCCCTCTTAATGTTCCCCCAGAAAGAGCAAGAGTATCCCTCTGGGTGCCTAAACCAGGAAATCCCAATTGGATGCTCCCTTACTAGTGTCTGCCTCCAAGGGCAAACCAAGAATGGTCAACTTTGAAGTCCCTGAACAGACTCAGAAGTGGAGTGGGCAGGTGAAAAGACAACCTGGCAAAATGGCACTACCTAAAAGAATCCTCCACTTTGTGCGACTGTGGAGAAGAACAGAAAACTCCGCATCTGTATGCTTGTCCCCAGTGTCCTGCCTCATGTACAGAGGAAGAATTGTTTGAGGCTACAGACAATGTAGTTGCTCAGTTCTTGTGGGTTTTTTCGGGCTATATGGCCATGTTCTAGAGGCATTTCTCCTGACGTTTCGCCTGCATCTATGGCAAGCATCCTCAGAGGTGAGGTCTGCTGGAACTGGGAAAAAGGGGTTATATATCTGTGGAATGACCAGGGTGAGACAAAGGGCTTTTGTAAGTTGGGCTAGGTGTGAATCTTTCAACTGACCACCTTGATTAGCATACAATGGGCTGACTGTGCCTGGAGCAAAACTCTTCTTGAAAGGTGATTAGATGTCCCTGCCTGTTTTTCTCTCTGCTGTTTTTGCTGTTGCAATTTTAGAATTTTTTAATACTGGTAGCCAGATTTTGTTCATTTTCATGGTTTCTTCCTTTCTGTTGAAATTGTCCACATGCTTGTGGATTTCAATGGCTTCTCTGTGTAGTCTGACATGGTGGTTATGAGAGTGGTCCAGCATTTTTGTGTTCTCAAATAAAAAAAAAATCTAAAATTGCAACAGCAAAAACAGCAGAGAGAAAAACAGGCAGGGACATCTAATCACCTTTCAAGAAGAGTTTGCTCCAGGCACTGTCAGCCCATTGTATGCTAATCAAGGTGGTCAGTTGAAAGATTCACACCTAGCCCAACTTACAAAGCCCTTTGTCTCACCCTGGTCATTCCACAGATATATAAACCCCTTTTTCAGTTCCAGCAGACCTCACCTCTGAGGATGCTTGCCATAGATGCAGGCGAAACGTCAGGAGAAATGCCTCTAGAACATGGCCATATAGCCCGAAACAACCCACAAGAACTGAGTGATTCCGGCCATGAAAGCCTTTGACAATACAATGTAGTTGCTGTTGCCCATTTTTGGTCAAATGATATTTAGCCGCTTGTGCTCCTTCTATTTTTATCATTTTTATACTAATTTATGCAATGCTTTTAATGCGAAATAAATAAACCAGAGACACCATACCACACAACATCCTCATTCATTAAAATAAGTAAATGAATAATGAATA